CATCAATGTTGTTAATGGCGATGGGAAGAACCTTGTGTTTAGATCAAATGACGATTTTAAAGATGATCGTTTCATATAAAAAGAGTTTTGTATGTTACATAAGGTGATAGGAAATATAACCATCTAATAAAAATCCTATTGTAAGTGGGTCTAAGATTGGGAAATGAAATAGAAGTCCAAATAAATCAGCAGTATTGGTTATATCTCTTAGGTTTAAGTATATATATTTGACATCTAATAGGATTCTTAACCTTGTATCTATGGAATGATGGTGAAAGACTTAGAGCGAGTGTTGCGCAAGAGCAAAAAGCCCTCTTCAACAATAGCAACTATGTTCAGTGAAGCAAAGCACTTTCAAACAAAGCCAGCAAACTACAGCTTTTTGTGCCCTATTTGGGGTCACCATATGGAAAAGTTGGCTTCCTCTAAAGAGAAAGAGGGGTCTTTTGCACAAAACGGGAAGACTTCCACATAAAAGGGTGAGCTTCCTAAAGAGGGAAACACTATGACGTTGCTACTTACAGAGTGAGAGGCTGGTTCCTTGTAGAGAAGTAGTTTTCATAGAGATTTTGGATAGCATCCCCTTTTGGTGAAAATGTTATCTTCTTCGACAATGGTTCATCTGTGAAATAGAGATGGGAGATGTGGGATTTGGTATAAAATGGTTGATCGACTGCACTTTGTTGAGGGTCGGAGAGGTATCTCTGTGTACCAAAACTTTCACTTTGCCATGCTTGTAGAAGTACCCCCTTTAGGATGAACCACACAAATCATTGTGCTATTGTGACATATGTTTTTGTGCTTTATTTTTATGCATCTATGATGGTTTGTATTCGCCTATTTTATTTCTAACTAGATAAGTACACGATTTTGGTGGGATTCCAATATTAAGTACTCATGTTTTCGCATATCAGTGGGTTGTTGAATCCTAACAATTAGTATTAGAATGTATGGTCTATTACAAGGCTTGCGTTGTGCATTTAGTCGAACAAAACACGGTGAAATACGTGAGCTTTTTGTTTGAGGTGGAGAAATATAATAAATAAGCATAATCTTTACTGCAAGAATGACAAAAGGATTTATTTTGCAAAAACGAAGAAATCATAAAGCTATCTCATGGATGGTGGCATGATGAGTATGATTTCACTATCAAATGTAGAAATTTCAGACCAGCGATTAGCAAAATTACCACAAGCAAAATTATCACCCAATAAAAATCTTAGCATAAGTAAGGTTAAGATTATGTAATGAAAATTAGAGTCCAACAATATCTCTTTGTTTTTTAGATATATGTGATAGCTAAGGGAAGTTTCCTATATAGTATAGGATTCCTTACCTTATCTATATAAAATGAATGGGAAAGACTATTTGTGGTGTCTTTGGAGTCACCATGTGGAAAATGTGGGTTTAGAGAGAGAACATGGGTCTCTTGCATAGAGAGGCAATTCCTCTACATAGAGAGAAATGAGCTTTCTAGAGACAAACTTTGCAATGATAACTCCTGCAGAGTGAGAGACCGTTTATTATAGACAAGTGGCCCCCATAAATATTTCATGTGTTATCTATCCACTTCTAGTGATAGAAAGTCTTATTTAATCTCAAGGTTATCTTTATGGACAATACTTTAGTTGTTGAATAGAGATGGGAGATTGGTGAATAATGTCAATCGGGAGATTGGCCTAAAAGGGTTACTATATTGAGTTGTGTTTAGGGTCAAGGAGGTCAAACATTGTTCCAAAATGCCTCATGTAACTATCAACAATAAATTAGATTTTAGTTTGCTATGCCATGTATGTGGTCTCTTTAGGATGAAAAATATAAATCATTATGTTATTATGGTATGTGTGTTTTTATGCTTGATTTCTTATACCCGTATTATGGTTTTTACTTGTCTATTTTGTTTCCAACTAGCTAAGCACATGATCCGCTGGAATCATGATACTATGATTCTTTTTAGTAACGTTCATTTATAAAAAGGAAAAAGAGAATAAGATTTTAGTAAGGGAAAAGTTTATATAAGGTTGCAACCTTAAAATGTAGAATCACATATGCATCTCAAAAATCTATTGGAAATGTTGTTTTAATGTTCAAAAGCCCTCTAATCAATCATCTCGACATCTAGATCTATTATTATAGGAAAAAAAAAAAAATTAAATATCGGAAATAGTGTATCTTGGAGCATATTATCTAGACTGTCCATTTTCAGGATTTTCATATATTTATAGATCTACTTGATTTTAACTATTTTTGAAATTTAAAATTTTCTAATTAGGTATGAAAATAGATTATAAGATAATACTAAGAATTTTTTTGCAACAAAATTACATGTTATAATAAAATTTTAAGATGCTCTTTAATTGGATTGTTTAAGTCAATCTTATAGAAACCGCACCCTTTAGTAATGTTTATATATAAAAAGAAAAAAGAGATATAGGCTTTAGGATCGAATTGGGCTTTCTACTTTAGATGGGTTACCCGCTATCACCAAGTACTCCAAACAACGGACTTGAATCCTAGGGGTCTGCAATTCTATGGAAATAAAACAAATTGAAAATTAAAAGATACAAAATTGAATGAAAAAGTGACATAAATGGGAAAGACATGGTTCCTGACATCATCGATTCCATTAATAACAGTGCTCAAGTCATTGATAAAGCTCCGTGATTCCTTCCTGAGACATTACCTTTTCATACATTCCAAAGAAGCAACTGTGATTGTACAATCATTATGCCCATAGAAAACATAGGATGAATGATCCAAGCCTACATTTGCTCCCCACGCCAACATGCAATGGAGCACTGTTTCAAAAATCGGCTGAGTCAGCTTCGATTTTGGCCAAGTTAATCGGGTTTGGGAAATGGCCGAGCCCAAGTAGTCCCGAGTCCCACTCTGGGATTTTAAAAAAATAAAAAATATAAAAAATCTTCAAAAAATAAGAAATCTATATGTACCATTTTGTTTATGTTTTATATCATTTTGGCGAAAATTAAATAAGTATTTTGGCCATGAATACTTATTTTACATTTTCACGTATTTTTTAAAAAATTTAAAAATACCTCTTGACACAAATTGATTTTTCAAAATGTATTGTTTTACTCCTTTTTTAACTTATTTAGATGTGTTTTATCTAAGGAAAATGTTTATGTAGAGTTGAGGCTCTAAACAATCAAATTAGAAGCCTCCTCAAAAATTTCACTAGAAGAGGTTGTTTTGATGTCCAAATATCCTCTAAATGATCATCTTGACATCAAGATGTACGGACATGAGAAAAAATGGATTTCAAATTTTTCAAATAATGCATCTTGTAACACATTTTTGGACCGTCAATTTTCAAGATTTTGAAGTTTTCATATATCTGCTCAGTCTATACTATTTTTTAAGCTTTAAATTTTATAATGAAATATGAAAATATATTTTAAAGCTACCACAAAGATCTCCAGTAGCGAAACTACATTTTTCGACAACATTTGAAGGTGCGCTTTACTTTGATTGTTCGGAGCCTCAGCTTTATACAAACAGCACCCTTTATTTAAATTTACTTTAGATATATTTTTCCCATTGTCATAATTTTTTTAGCATTTTTTGCTGTTATAGTACTCAGCCCTATTTGGGCAAAGTAAGTCAGATTCTGGGTACTCGATTAAAACATGGGCTTAGTACTCAGCCCGAGTCGTGGTTTCGAACACTGCATATGTAACACCGGCTATCTAATTTGAAAAGCGCTTCTAAATTCAGAAAATAACAATTTGGCCCATTTGAGGATCCCCTTGTAACATATGTAACATCTAGTGAGTGCCCAAATGTTCACTAATCAAGGAAAAGTGGACATAGTTTGCAAATAAGGTACATTTAATAGAGTAGTATGCAAATAAGGTAACTATCTTCATCATAGAGAATGGAAAAGGGAAGCTATAGCTACCTCCACTTTTAGAGAGATGGAGACAAAAAGGTTGTAAAGGAATGTATGCGGTGGAGAGAGGCTAACACGCCTCCACGTATTATATTCAACACCAAATTAGTCAATCAATAAAAAGCCACTCTAGAATTTATTCACTCCTTCCTCCTTCTGGGGTCCATTAAAAAACAGCCACCACATTCACAAAATTCCGATCTTCAGAATTGATGATTTAGGAGAGTATTTAAAAATAAAAAATTTAAAATTAAAATAAAAGTTATGAGAAATTATAGATATTCCTCAAAATAAATATTTTATCCTTTAATACTTTTAATATCATACTCTTAACCCGTTATTTTTTTCTTTTTTACTACAAGATAAAAGTAAATCTTTTAAATACTAAACTACCTTTCCCCTCTCTCTCGTTTTTTCTTTTTTCTCTATTTTTTTTTTCTCTCTCTACCCGCTCTTTGCTTGCTCTGCACCCACTCTCAATTCTCTTTCAAGAGAAAGGACGGAGAGAAAGAGAAAAAAAAAGAGAAAGAGTAGGTTAATTTTTAAAAAGATTTTTTTTTTAACTTGATAAAAACAAGAAAAAATATTAACTGGATTGAGAGTGTAATACTAAAAATATTGATTGTAGAACGTCCGCAAAGTTAATTTTGGAGATATTCTCTAGAAGTTATGACGTCGTGATGTAAAGATGGCTAAGAAAACGTCATTTAAGTTTTAAAAATAACAATTTCAAAAGTAGGGGTTTTAGGAAGGGGGCTGGCCGGGAAGTGGTTCTGGTCAATTCCTGGTAGGGATCGATTATTCTCGAGCTAGCTGGATCACCGGATTTTAAAGCAACGATGACGATGCTTCGAAATAAAGAAGAATTAAGATGGTTGGAATGGCGGTTGAGTTAAAGATTGAAGCAATCTAATTATTAATGGGCGCTGGCTGGAATCATACGTCACTCCATCCATTGTTTTAAGAAGAGGTCAAACCTTGGACAATAGGAGAGAGAGAGAGAGAGATTTACACAGAGAGAGGGGAGAGAGAAACTTGCACACAGGCCATTACTTTTGAGCCATCAGAGAGAAAGAGAGCGCTCATGAGCTAACATTCAAGAAAACAGAGAGCTTGTGAAATAACAGAGAGAAAGAGAGAGATTTGAACACAGATCACAGATTTTGAACCACCCATCACTAAACTAAACAGTATTTTAGTGACAAAGGTTTGATTTATCTCAAGCACGCTTCTCAAACATCGTTAGGAAACCTCTCTCTATCTCCATGAAAGTCAATAGAAACATAAGCAGCAACAAATTGTACAAACAACCCCTAATTCTTATGGTCCCTTTACCTCTCTCACTTCTTTTGTGCGCGCTTCGCAGCCCACTTCTCCCTAATGAAGAAGCCAAAGAGAGAGAACACCGAAAAGGCGGAGAAGCAAGCAGCTGCGATGTCGAGAGAAGCATGTCTACCGGTAATGCCTTGAATTTCAAAGAGATTAGTGGTCTTGTTCTTGTTGGTGGTTTGGCCATAGGCCAATTTATTGTCTTGAGAATCCGAGGCATAAGCTCTAATGAAATAAGTAGCAGTAGGAATATCTCTCTCTATGAGCCAAGAGACGGTGACTGTTGAGTTGTTGGGGTTGTAAGGTTGAGCTGCTATCTTGAATTGGCATGTCTTATCTTTCTTCATATCATCCACTGTCTTCCTCCATGCCCTGTCCTTTTGGCTCAAAGGTGCATAGCACAGCTTAATCGTTATCCTCTTATATTGTTGGTCTGTTCCATGAGGCAGAGACTGGTTCAAGGACCATGTCACAGTTATGTGATCCTCACCCACATTTAAAACTGCGAAAAGAATTAAGAAAATTTGGATTAGGAACTGCCATATGTTCAGAGAGAAAAAGCCGAATTAAGAATGAGGTTGAAATCAACCCCCAAATTAGAGGTCATTTGGGAGAAAGAAAATAAGAATTTGGGGAGAGAGAGAGAGGTTTCTCACCATTCCCAGCTTTGGGAGATGCTTGAACCACAAGAGTGGGGTTGAGTGTTGAGAAGAGGACCTCTCCTGCTGCATAACCAGTGAAGAAGAGGAGAAAAGGGAAGCATATCACATTCTTTGTTACCATTGAGAAAAGACCAAGTGCTTTAATCCCAAAAATGAAGAGAAGAAAATAAACCTAGAATTTGCAGATGTGTTTGATGATTGTGTAGGAGATAAAATATGTGATTTTATAGATGTTGAGACATCGAGACACATGCAAATGCAGAAAGTCAAACCCAACGCTTGTTTAGGAGCCATCAGGCCATTGGAAACGCCAAAAGGCCCACAACTTGTGCCCTTTATGTCTCAATAGATTACAATGTGAAAATTGAGCAAAAGAGGGGTCAAATTAAATTAATTTGAGGCCATGGCCCTTGACTCACTTGAAGAGCCATCTACGAGGCAACAACTGGACTTAGTGAAATAAATATCAAAGTCAGTACACAACTACATAGGGGATCACAATGTGATCCATATGGTGACATTAGGGGTAATGACCATGAGGTTATCACCCTCCATTCAATGGGTTGGAGGATGATGATGGAGTGGGTTCCACTAAATATCTCGGTAATTTGGGGTCTCCACCCTCCCCTTCCACCCTTCACTTAGGGCTACCAACAGGCCGGGCCAGCCTTGGGCCTAGTCCCCATAGAGCTGGCCCAAGTTTGACCTGGCCCTAGTCCCCATAGAGCTCGCCCAAGCCTGACCTAGCCTAACCTGGGCAAAAAGGCCTTGACCTTGGCCCGACCCTAGCCTAGTAAGTCCAGGTCAAATAAAATCAAAAAAATGGAAGGAAACAAAAAAAGTTCCCGGCTAGGCTAATAGGGCGAGCAACGGGCCGGGTCAGCCTTAGCCCAAGCGCAACCCAATCCTACCCTCAGCCCTGGTCCTATCTTTGGGACACATTTTTTGTGGCCCATGCCCTATTTTTTAGGGTCGGGCATACCAGGCCGGCGCCCTGGCTCATTGCCACCCCTAATGATAATGTCGTTACCATGACCACATCGATTATGTTATATTGGACAAGGTTTTAATGAATTAGCCAACATACTTATTCGAAAGGCTCAGTCTCCTTCAAATATCCATCTTAGAGATGATTTTCGACTTGAGATTTTACTAGTACACAATCTCGACCGCCAGGACTATGAATTTCTAAAGAAAAATATATTTTAGCACTAAACTAGACTATTAATCTTCAGTTTTTAATCATTTATTTAAATTACTTGCATATCATCAGCTGTACCATTTTTTGAACTGCCATATCAGGGGTCCATAGGGGAAATGCATTTGGAGTAACTTGGGATCCTAAATCTATCGCTAAATTAAATCTGTGAAAGAGGAGAAAATTTGAACAGGACCTCGATTAACTATTCCCTGATATACTTATCCATTAAGGATTTAGATGCCCTCGTGGATTCTTAAGAATTATGAACTTGAAGTAGAATATTGGAAGAATATTATGTTTGGTGATTCTTCTTAAAAAATTGTATCATGAGAGCAATATACTTGGTTTCTTCTCGAATCTCCATTATTTAAATGGGGCCATGGCTTCCACCTCTCTCTCTCTCTCATTATGCTCCATTAGTTTCGTGATCGGGAGTTTTCCTTGATTTTAAAATTTGGTTGCTTAGTTCTTAAATGAGTAGTTTATTGATTGACTTATTCATTCTTTCGTTTGCCTCCACCAAAGGGTACCATCTGTATCGCCTCCTATATGCCACCGTTCCTTTACCTCTTCCCGAATCTTTTTCTCTTTTTTTTCTTTTTTTTTTTGGATGTTAATGAGATTTCATCAGGAAAATATAAAATACATAGAAACAATGGGTACAAAGGCTTCAAGACCCAAAAGAAAAAAACACACAAAAAAAAAGAGTTAAGGGGTGGCAATTGGGACCCGTGGGCCCAAGACCCGACCGGTAGCCCCACCCCTAGTCTAGATATAAGTCCGGGGGTTGGACCTGATGGGTTGGATCCAAGTCCAATAGCTTGAACCCAATTCGGGTTCGGATTTGGGTCCAGGTCCAGGTCCAGGTAGTGACTCTAGGTCTGGTAGTCCATATCTTTGTTTTGTGAGTTAAATATATTTTTTTTAATGTAAAAATTGATTTCCAGGTCGGATGCGGGTCACCCATAATCAATTACGGTTCAAGTGATCCCCATCGATTCTGGCTCCGGCCAGGCCGGATCCGACCCGTTTCCACCCTAGAAAGAGTGACGCACTAAAGGTTCCACAGATCAATCACATTTTAGGCTTCATAGTCACACCCAAAGTGTAGTGTGATGGGACTCGCGAGGCATAAACACGGATTTGGTAATTTGGTAGGGTATTCATGAGCTCAATTTGCCATATCGCTTAGTATTACATATTTCCAATCGCTGTCCCAAAGGTCAACCAGGCCTTTGGCATAGCCCAATGATGGGAAAACACGGCTTGCAAAGTGGTCTTTTGGGCCGGGCAGCTTCCAGCTGAGCACACGCTAAAGTTCATTCTGGGCTTTGGTAGGCCTTGCTAGCCCAAAATTTTTCATAAACTTTTTGAAGTGAAAATTTTCGTACATTTATAATAGGCCCAGCCACATTGCCTGATTTATCGATCGGGTCTGGCAGGCAAGACTTCAGGTTTCGACTAAAATTTAAATTATTTTCAAGCCCTGAACTCGCCTTATCGGGGAGGGCTCGGCCCGGCCCCTTAACAGCCTTAGTTTCATCCTATTTGTCAAACCTAACTGGCATACCCTCAAAGAAAGAAAAAAAAAACCAAAAAAAAAACAAGTTTATATAAGGTTGCAACCTTAAAATGTAGAATTAAATATGCACCTTAAAAATCCATCAGAAAAAGTTGTTTAATGTTGAAAAACTCTCTAATTGATCATCTCAGCATCGAGATGTATGAATATAAAAAAAAAATATTTCTAGTCCTAGAAATCATGTATCTTGCAACTCATTATCTAAACTGTCCATTTTCAAGATTTTCATATGTTTATAGATCTACTTGATTTTAATCTTTCTGGAGTTTAAAATTTTATAATTAGATATGAAAATAGATTTTCATATAATCATAAACTTTTTACACTAAAATTACAATGTTATGATAAAATTTGAAGGTGCGCTTTAGTTGGATTGTTTAAAGTTGCAACCTTACATAAACCACTCCCAAAAAAAAAAAATAGTGCAACAAGAGCTATAATTAGATGCAATCTTTTCCAAGCATCGTTCCACTTGCACCAACCACTCTCTCCGTCTCTCTCTTTCTTGAACATTCATTAAAAGTTGATATTTTTATAAGGTGCCGACCTTATAATATTAAAGTAAGGTGCACCTCAGCAATACTCCAAAAATGTAATTTAGTAATTTCGGTGCCACAAAGCCTTGCGAGGATATGAAAATCAATTGTTGCCCCTAATTATGGAATTTAAAATTTTATAATAGTGGTGTAGAGATCTATACACACTTAAAAATCTTGAAAATGGACGGTCTAGATGATGTGTTAAAAAATGAACTACTTTCAAAAATAAAAACATTTTTTTCATGTCTACGAATCTCGAGATCAAGATGATGAATTTGAAGGTTTTCCAACATTAAAACAATTTTATCTAATGGGGGTTTTTGGTGGACCTTACCTATACAAGGTTGACACCTTGTATAAACTTTTTCCTTCATTAAAATACAAAAAGTACTTTTGAGTAGGTCACCCATCATAGTATTTATTCTCAGTTAAGCATATCCTTAATCTGATGGTACAAAAAGTACTTTTCAGTAGGTCACCCATCGTAGTATTTATTCTCACTTAAGCATGCTTAATCTGATGGTAAGTTAGCTGGCTTCAAACCCATTTCTTCCAGTTGGGCTCTATTCTCAAGATTAGGGTTATGAGACCATTTGAAAAGGAAGGGAAGCTCGTTTTTTTTTTTTTATTCCTCCTCCTGGTAGTAGACAAGTGGCGTAGGATTTGAGCTTGATTAGTTAAGGGGTTGATGAATTGAATGCTATATCCCATTTTCAAATCCTATTGGTACTATCTGAAAAGGGCAAAAAATTTAATGTAAGTGTCATCTCAATAATCAATCGAAAAATGTTGTTTTGATGCTAAAAAACCTTCAAATTGATCATATCAAATTCAAGATGTATGGAAGTGGCCCGCTTTCACCTTTCTTGTTTACCTTATATACAAAGGGCTTCAGCTTACTACTCTGAAATGTAGAAGAAAGGGGTAACTTCTCTAGTTTTAATATGTCGGATCAGGGACGTAGTGTATCCCACCTTCAATATATTGACGATACACTTCAAGCGAAATGCTCCTATCTTAATAACATTGCAACCTTCCTGTAGTGTTGTGAGGAGGCGATGGGACTCAAAGTCAACTTTGAGATGACATCGCTAATTGGAATTAACTGTGACAATTCAGTGGTCCTTGAGTTAGCAACTTCTATGGGTTGTAAGGTGGACTCCTTCTCTTCTTATTATCTAGGTATGCCTATTTCTAATGGAAAGCTACCGATGTCTTGTTGTTGGGATAAGATTATTCAAAGAATTCAATTCAAACTTGATCTCTTGGAATTATAAATACTTACCTTTAAGATGGAGAATAACACTGCTGAGATCTTGTTTATCAAATCTTCCTGTTTATCAGATATTTATCATTCAGTTTCCAACGGTGGTAGTAAAGAAAATCAAAGGTATGATGAGGGATTTCCTGTGGGGCTCCTTTGATTCACAAAAATTCCGTCTCCTGAGATAGGATAGAATTTGTTCGCCAAAAAAAGAAGGGGTCCGGGGATAAAAAAGATTAGATTGGTCAATCAAACCCTTCTATGTAAATAGTGATAGAGAAGCCTACATAGATAGATTTGGTATGTGGATTGGGGCCAGGAAACTTATCATTTATTTGGAAAGATATATTTCAATGTAAATCTCTTATACATCGTAACATCCGTTGGAGTCTGGGTAGTAGTGTTGACATATCCTTTTGGTACCACAAGTGGATAGGTGAATACCCCTTAAAAATAGCTTGTCGATATATATATTTGAAAAAATGGATAATCCTAATGCAGTTATAGTAGATCTATTTGAGTTAAGGGGTAATCAAGTGGCTTGGAATATCAATCTCCCCTGTAATAGGGAATCGGATAATCTTTACTCTCAATTGAGTTCGTTATTGGGAACTCTGAGTCACGTATATATCCCCAATTCTAGGGATGACGAGATAGTATGGGAGATTGAGACCAATTCTAGGGATGACGAGATAGTATGGGA